TTTATTATTAACTTTTTGTTTTTTATTTAGTTTTGTTCTAATTTTTGTTACTTTTGTGCCCAAGATGAAGTTAAAATTATTGATAATTATAAATGAATAATATTGTATTATATCACAACATTTTGTTGATACTGTACACTACACAGCTACACAGCTTTATCTTAAAGAATAACCCTCCCTCAATCCCTCCCTCCCTCATGTCCATTGTTATGAGCGTTTTCCAAAGAATAACCCTCCCTCAATCCTTTCCTCCCTCATGTCCATTGTTAGCGTTTTCCAAAGAATAACCCTCCCTCAATCCCTTCCTCCCTCATGTCCATTGTTATGAGCGTTTTCCAAAGAATAACCCTCCCTCAATCCTTTCCTCCCTCATGTCCATTGTTAGTGTTTTCCAAAGAATAACCCTCCCTCAATCCCTTCCTCCCTCATGTCCATTGTTATGAGCGTTTTCCAAATTGAGGATTTGTATCACATTGAATCATGAAAATATTACTTATTTTGACCCTAGAAACACCTCTGTATTTTATGTAGTTGCCTGCACTATCATACTGATGAAGAAAATACAGTATTTTGCTTTGAATGCAAGTCAGTAAGTTATAAAGCAGCTGCTACCTATAGATTACAGACAGCATTCTGGCATAATAAATGATTGGATTCTGGTCTGTACGTGTACATATCTAAAAGTTTCCCATGTGTGTATTTATGAATTCAGTACAATGGCCTCAGGCCTATTGTACAATGAATCAAAAATAGAAAAAAATAGATAAAAGGGATTCCTTTTAATAATTGTTGAATCTACTAGTCACAACTGGTTAAGTAGATTTTCTCTATGTTTAGAAGCATAGAATATAAATTTTGATAAATAGTACAGATAAATTGTCAAACTGCATTAACTAAGACATTCAGTCTGATCTGACTGATGAAATATAGGTAAATATTTTTTTCTAAGAATTTCATAACGTGGGCATACAAGGCAAAAATGGTATTTATCCTCAACACACCCTGAATTACATAATTTACAGATTCTCATATTCCTCTGTATGTTTAATTTACGATCAGATTCAACCCGAAGGTTGTGGGATGATGTTCTAAGCTGGCATAGCACAGAACGTAACTTGCTATCTTTAATTATGTATGTATTTACCAGTAAGTGATTCACAATATTTTTGTCAAAAAAAACACTCATCATCATCATCAGCAGCAGCAGTAATGAAGTCACTTCATAAACTCTGGTAAATACAAGATCAATTTGTAGGGTTCCATGTTGTGGAAAGTGACCTACATTTTGCCGGACAGTATTAATAATTTACATACTTGATTAGGATTCTGTCATGTGACCTGGTTAACTTCCATGCAGATAAAATACAAGCTGTTGATACTTTAATACAGTGAGTCTCAGAAGTATTAGGAAAAGAAAATTGGGTTGTTGAGTGACATTTTATTTCCAAACTGATATTCACACATCAGACATTTATGCAGGTAATCTGTCAGTAGGGAACAGGAAGTTATTATGTATTGATATTAGAACACTAATTTGGTCAATTTAAAGTAATTTTGATGAATTTCTACATTATATGAAAAGTCCACAACATAACAATTGTTTTATTTGTTCATGATTTTACAGTGATGTAAGTTAATCAACAAACTCTGCTTGTCATCAAATCTAAAATAACCTGACTGTATTCAAATCCAATAGCAATTCGCTATGTGCCAAATTGACATAAAATTTGTGAAGAGATCTGAAGGAATTTCTTGTAGTTTTAATAACTGCAGCACTATTTGCATTATTGCATCCCATGATGCATCTCTGTATGTGAACATTAGATTACTTTAATACTTAAAATGACAACAAAATGTTTCAGTAGTGATGTCATTGTTTTCTCTGACTCAATTTTAAGTTTGTTTTGAAGATTTGTTTTAATTGGTTTCAGTGAATAAGTATAAACAAAAATACCAGTATGTGTGACATATAAGTTTAATAATACAGTAACAATAAAATAAATATTCAATACTTGCAGGCTGGCTGCTATTTATGTTGTGACAGAGATGAATGTAAACCTATAAAATAGCCTGTGTTACTTTGGCCGCTTGCCAGCTTCGAATTCCAATTTGTTGATATGTCTTACTGAAAATCCCTCATGAAAAATGGTTGTTTGAATTGCCTGGCTACTGTGTGTCAGATAAATATCTATGATATATATGTAATGGAGAAGTCTACTTGTGGAGATTATACCATATTGAGGGTACATTACAGTCTCGGCATAACTTAACTTCCAAGCTGGTTGCCTTTAAAAAAAAAAAAAAAATAATTTTAACTTTGAATAATTTCAACTTATTCTTTATAGTATTTTAATACCCATGTTACTATAGTTACTGAGATATGCTTACCAAAGTTACATTCAAATATAAAAAACTTCAATGGTGTAAAATTTTATAAAACTGACCAGCGGGGATAATAAATACACCAGAAATACAGGGATTGAAATAGAATTTTTTTCCCCTGCATGCACAGTGTGCATGTTGAATTTGAAATTTACCTGCACTAACTTGTTGTGAAAGGCACCACTCTTAAAGTTTAAATAAAATTTACGGTTTATCGATTGATGATTGATTTTTTTAGTTGTCTTACAATGTTGGTTGAACTTAATTTAGGAATATAATGAATATAATGAGAAAATTTGTTAATTTCTACATGCACAGCGTGCACATTATATTTTGAGTTTACTTGCACTAGCTAATAATCTATGTGCATAGTGCAGTGTGCACCAGAGTATTTCGAACCCTGAAATAGCAGCAAATGTGTCCTGTTTAAGCCTGACTGGTGATTAGTTTAACTCGTATTACTTTTATACCGTTTCTGGTGTTTTCATTATTTCCGCTGGTCAGTTTTATCAATTTTGAGACATATCCAAGGCAGATTACAATTTTGATATGTGATATTTTTAAAAGCAAGCTAAGGCCAGACATTTATTATCCCTTGTTTGGTGAACCCGCCAAATGAACAGGAGCCGAAAATGAAAAAAAAAAAAAATTTAATTTTAGCATAATTTCTCGCGTTCACTGACTTGTAAGTGCAAAAAATTGCTAAAAAAACTTATTTTTATCTTCATTTTTTTTTCACTTATAGTTGTGCATCTTATCCAATTAAATTTAATCTCACAATTGGTATGGTAATTATTTCTCTCATCCAATCACATTCAATCTTTCACTTACATTCGTACATCTTATCCAATTAAATTTGATTTCACAATTGGAATGGTAAATTGTTCCTCTCTTTCACTCATAGTTGTACTGTACGTCCAATCACATTTGATTTTTCACCTATTACTGTACACTGTAGTTGTTCATCCCACCAAATCACATTAGATCTTTCAATTGAAGCAGATGAACCCTACTTTCATTGCATCACATCACTTTGCGTTCATTATGGGCCCCTCTACGCGCAACATAGTCACGTCATGTAAAATACGCTGTAGTGACCATACCATAGCGATTCTTTATAACCAGTGCTATTACTTGAATGAAATTTAGATATTTTCAAGTTTTTCTTCTCATGTGAACTGCATGTACATTTTGCATTTTATTTTTGTTAAATTTATTTGTTTTTCTTGCTGTAGTAAAACATGCGTAATGAATAAAAAACAAACACCCATCTTTAAAATAATATTAGCCTAGCCCACTATTGTAGTACTAAGAATACGCGTAAATCTAGTAGATTATAGGTAATCATGGTCTCAGCTGTCACTGTATATATATAAATATTTAGCAAAGTGTCGCCTCTATGTCTGTCGCTGTGCAACAAAGCATGTGTGTTTGCGAGTAATCAAATTTTTTCGCAGTCACTACTGGGAGTCTGGAACAGATGTCGTTGATCGTAAAGGTCAACTTGTGACCGTATTCATGACACTTCAGCCCGTTTAACTCAAAATGAATTATTGCAATTTGCACTGAATTTTAAAATGTATATGTAAACATTATAATAATGTAACAGTATTTAAACGTTTCACAAAATGGTGTTTTTTTTTAAATTTAAATGATCTTTTTTGTGATTATCATTTATATACTAATTGTTGTTTGTAGTGGTTTTAGATTCCATTAATCATGAAATACTGAGTGACACATGCACATTTCTAGTACTAACGTATTTATTCACCGTCGTTACGCAGTGTTTTGTTTGATATATCGGTCCCTGATTGTATGAAATTCTAGCATGTGTTGCATGACAACTTTGCGTTCCTTCTTTTTGTGCCCTGTGGTTATTGCATGGCTCACAATAGTGTTGTATTCTGGTAATCTTGCCTGTTTCTGTTTCCGCAATAGTGTGGTCTCTAAGCAGATATGACGCGCCGTTGACGCACAAAGATGTGCTGTGACGCAACTACATGTAGTTGTGCTAATTCACTGGCGTGTTATTGACGCAACTGAAAATCACACTTTGATAGGGAATGAGTGATCTTGAAAAACCTCTTGCTATTAATAATACTGTAAAAGGGTTAATTATTCACTGGGTTTTAATTTTGCTTATTTCGCTGACTGGAAAATGCGCTATTAATAAAATTAAAACATTATCTAAATGGTAAATCAGCGAAATTTAAACCCAGTGAAAATTAGTCATTTTACAGTAATACATGTGAGTGATTTGGTACATTTTGTAAAATGAATTTCACTTTTTGTAAACAGAGCAAGTGTGAAAACGAGAAAATCAGAGGTTACAATATTTTTCACCCATACAGTCGCATGCAATTTTTTTTTCCTTCCCAGCAGTCAACAAGTTTACCCAACTAGATTGTGGGGGAATCCATTTTAACCCCGGATTCTTAAAACATTAGTCCTGTTAAAGTGGGCACATTATTCTGCAATCAAACTTTTCACTGAATGTATATATTTCATGATTTCCATACCCTAGCGTAGTATGCAGGTTTATATCATGATGTCAATTGATCAGATTTACTTGCTGTTATTAATTTATTAATTTATTTATAATTTTCTGGATATTTCAGGTGCAGTATCTGGGGAACCAATCACATGTGCTTATTACAGAAATGAAAACGACGATAGTACGCTTGAAATTCATGCAGATTTTGGTATTCTAGACATGGTGACCAATACTACGATAACATGCACTGAAACGGAAGACCCACCATATTGCTTTACTGCCTGGAAAGAACACTCTCAGGAAAACAAAAATATCATTCTTCAAGGTGAGTGATTGGATAGCTTTAGTCACATGATGTTGAAATTGATTCGAGTTGTACTTTGATTTGTCGGGGCTTGGTTATTGAGTCATTATTAATCTTACTGACTTAGAGACTTGGTTATTTGGTCATTGGCCATTGTGCCAATTTCGAGACTTTGTTACTTTATCATAAGTCGTTGTGTAGACTTAGATACAGTCTCTTGTTTTTTCAATAAAATAAATATTATGCGAGGGTATAGAATGGTAATAGCTGGGTTACAGCGAAACAAACTAGAGACTTATGTTCCATGCAAAGGTTTCCTTGCTACTAATATTAATGAGCACTTCAATGACATCACAGGATTTGATTGGCAGATCATGCATACATACAAGTTTACATTTATTCAAGATGGCCTTGAATGGCAAAACAAACCTCTGTGCCACTGATGTAGACAGCCTTCAGATTGTATCATTTTCTGTACTTGCTCTTTCATGAGTCACTAGTAGAAAAATAACTATGGTCCTTGGATGTACATTAAAAGTTTGTAGAGCAAGCAGAAAAGGTGCACTGGTAGCATATTGGTTGTTGCATCAGACTCATATGATTGACAGACCCAAGTTCAAATCCTACCATAGGCTGAACATCAAAAGGGTCGACCCCTACCCTGGGTGAGAGTGCCACAGACTCAATGGGAAGGCCAATTCCACTGGCCGAGATTCATTCACTAACGAATGCGACTTTGGGGGAACCTTGGTTAAGGTCCACAGGTGCTTGTGTTCGACCAAGCCTTGTTGACGCCAGGATAGCGCATTAAATTGTCATCATTTGATAGAGAGATGGCCGCACAGTCCTGTCATGCCATCATAAAAATTTCTCAAAAAATATCAAGAAATGCAAGTATGGTTTTTTACGGTTTCTATCAAGACAATGTTTGTTTATGAAAATTTAACTCCCAATTTGACCCTGGCCTTGATTGGTGGAACATTTGTTTGTTTTGTGGTTCTGGCTTTTGCCATTCCTTCACTCACATAATATTTGTTTGAATTGAAAAAACATCAAAAAATGAACAAGAGACTGTATGCAAGTCTAGTTGTTAAATTCTTGGTTATTTGGTCTTTGGCCATCTTTATACTACCTGTTGTTCTGTATTTCTTTTATTTGAAAAGAAGAACTTAACTTTAAAATTTAATTTTAAGAACAGACATCTACAACATGCGGTATATGCAAATGGTTAATCGGGTCAGGTTGATGATTTCATTTCAGCTTAATACCTAATAGTTTTACCCTTTTATTGAACCCTATAAAACTAGACATAATTAGTGATTTATTTCTTTAGGCTGTTGTAGTTACCATGGCAACATTGGTGATTATACTTAAGTTATGATGTAATGTCTGGTTACCATAACCCATATTTTATCTAAAGTAGTTGTTTTACAGCTTGGGCCAAACAACATAAAATTAATTCTTTTTTCCATTAGATTTGTGTGATTCTCAAAGAATTGTAAGTGAGATCATTGATCAGAGAGAAGAAATAAAATAAAATTTTATTCCATTTATAACCTTGTTTCTCATCTGCGCGAGACTTCGTTGCTTTGATCATGTCAATTTTCCAGTCAGCGAAATAAGCAAAATTAAAACCCAGTGAATAATTAACCCCTTTACAGTATATATTCCATTTGATATCAAACAGCTAATGAAAAAGCCATTGAGATTCCTATATTAGGAAGGTTGTGAACTCCAATGCTGACTCAGGCAGATTCACAGATATAAGAGAATGTAGTAAGGTTGTTAGCTTCGCACCACTGATGCAATTAGATGACTCACTCTGTGTTGACTTGCATAAATTATGTGCATGCTACAAACAGTAGAATTCGCAGTACCCCTTGGTACTGAAAATTTGATTTGATTTGGTGCCCCCATGAGCCCCAAATCATATTTTTATACTGAATCATTTAAATATGACTTATCTGACAATTAACACAAGCTGTGATGCACATATTAGCACGTATGCTATTAATAGAGTAAATTGTAACAGTTTATAAAATATTAAGTATTACAAATGTCTGTTTTTACAGTCTGTTCCCTTTTAGTCTCATTTTCACACAATTTGCTCAGTGCCACATTTGCTCCCTTTCTTTTCAGTAGCATCTAAATTTCAATGAATTTAATAAGTATACAGTAATTAGTATAGCATTTTACAGTAATTAACATTCTTCCATAATTGTTAATTTTTTGAAATTTCCACTAATTTGAATGCTAATTCTGGACCAACCAACCAATTGATTGACTTTAATTATTTTGCATTTTAAAACAAGATATGAGATACAAAACACTCTAGTTTGATACGAGTATCAAAAATTGAGAATGCTGATAATAGCTGCAGTCTCTGTGATCAAAAACCATTTTTCAGTGATAGGGTGATTCATTATATCCCCTAATAACGACACATTAAGGACTATTACTGTAAAATGATTAATTTTCACTGGTTTTAAATTTCACTGATTTAGCATTTCAGGCATATTCAGTAGGTTTTAAATTCATGGTTTTGTCATTTAGATAATGTGTTCTATGCTAAATTTTACATGTTCACTGGGTTTTTATTTAGCACGTTTTCAGGTCAGCGAAATAAGCAAAATTAAAACCAGTGAATAATTAACCCTTTTTACAGTATATTGAGAGATGACTGCATTGTTTGTGTCAATAATATAACTTATTACGTGATGTCCTTAAGACACAGCTTGGGAAACCCCTCTTGTACAACTATGATTATAGATGGATGATTCATTGATCATTTGAATGTTGTCTCATTGCTATCACTCTTTATTTACTGTAACTGTTCCTGAAGTATTATGAAAGCTGAGATATTGATGTTTTTAGTTCAAAAAAAACTTTGGATACATGACAGGGTTAATACGTAGGATAGTGTATGTTAATCAAAAAGAATATGTAATGTATGTACATGTATGTGTATTGCGAACTAACGCACATTTAATATATGTACTGTGTGTATTGCCAAACTGACTCGCATATACTGTACAAGATCACCTAGTTACCAATCTTCCCCTCAGCCACTGGATGCTAAAGAGCTAAATTATTACGCATGGAAACTGTGAAACTATTTCTACTGAGCCAACTCCCACAACCTAGCAACCATAACTTCATTGAAAGTCAATACTTCACCCACAATCCTTTGCTGGATAATCAAGATGGCTGACTACATAATACTGATGAAAAGTTAAATATCTTGAGAATGAAAAGTGATATAAAAAAACTGTAAATTGCATTCTCCTACATTTGTGGAGCTCTTTTTTTAGGAAGCATTATGTTGTTTGCTTTGACTTCCCCTTGAATTTCAATGATACTATGGTGACTTCCATTACTAGGAATTGAGCGTTGTTTCATATTTTACACATAAAAAAACGGGTGATGTATACAAACAAGTGTTATAAAAACAGTTTGCTTACATAAAATTCAAATTTTTTAACACACAAATAATATCATGGTTGTCATAGTTACTTTAGTGTTGTCTCAATTAACTGTAATGTGGTTTTATAATATTAACATTGTATCATGTCAGTACATGGAAATGAGAATATTATGAATGAAATGTATTCCTATGTTTTTTTGAGTTAACTTGCTGAAGTGTCAGCCCCCCCCCCCCCCCCCCACCAAGAAGAGATTGAGGTAAATGAATGATTTCTTTCAAAAATGCATTGACCTGAAATTATTCATATTTATGAATATTATTTTTAAAAAAAAGGCTGGCAGGTGGGGAATCTGTTAAAATCATTGATATTGTGTCCCAGAGATTGAAAAAATTCCCTGTCATTTGTAGTTACAGGAAGTGAGTCATCGTGATGTTTTCATCAAGTACAGAATAAGAGAAAGAGAGGTCTTTTTTTAGTAGTTGGTTGTCTCCATGACTTTTGTGTTGTAAACGTGTGAAAGCTGCTGTAAATCGTATATACTATGGATGTATGATGTATGAAAAAATCATTGACGATTTTTGTTGTAATTTTCCCAGTACATGGATTCAAAGAAATTAGCAGTTTTAGGTCCCCAGAATTTTTTCACTTTTTACACCTAGCTAACATTAAAACATTAAACGTAGTTAATATCAGGTTAATGTTAACACAATCAGATTGTGTTAGTGTGTCTTTTCACCACCTGTTCCCTCTTTTCATCACAAATTCACAAAATAGTCCTGTTTATAGTCTGCACTTTTCTTCTGAAGATTTGGACAAAAATAGCCAAATTTTCTGAGTAAAAACTGAAAATTTAATAAAATTTTGTCTGTTGGCTTCAAAATTATGGTTCATTTAAAAAAAATTGAAGAATTTAAAAAAAAAAAGTGCAGAAAAATTTGGGCAGAAATGTACAAATATGTGATTCAGAAGATGGGACAAAAATAGCCAAAAACAGAAAATTGACTCAAATTGTTGTCTATTGGATCCAAAACTAGGGTTCATTTTTATAAATATTGAAGTATATAAGAAAAAAAAAGTGCAGAAAAATTTGAGCGAGAGAGTCTGGTGGTAAAAATTAATCAAAATGGAATCTCTCCAAATCAAGGTGAGTCAGCTTGTTGACTGCTGGATGAGTCGATCCTCAAGAAAAAAAAAATTATAGGTGACTTAATGCACAAGCTAAAATGTTGTGGCTCCCATTTCTCTCCAATTTTACACTTATTTAGTTTATTAAATTTGAATTTCTTTTTACAAAATTCCAAATTCTGTAACTATAGTAAGATGTTTTTCAAGAGCACTTTATCAACGTACGTTTTTATCTTATGTCAATAACATGTCAGTAAATCACCACTAGTAGTTATGTCACAGCAAATCTTTGTGCGTTAATAGTGTGTCATATCAAACCACTCTGGTAATAATGACTAGCATTTCCATCTCAAAAACGCATTATGCAATCTGATATTTTGGCTAAAGTGGAATTTTTTTTTTCATTTATGATGCTGATTTTCATGAATATTTCAAAGATACTTAGAAATGCAACACATAAATTTATAAGGTTGTATGTGATCGACATGTATTTCTCATTTTTTTGTGAATAGCAATTTGTAAGTGTAAAGAAAACATTTGAGTACCAAACTAGCTGTTTAATTAGCTCAGTTTTGTATTAATTACTTGAGTGCATGTTTTTTTCCATCCAAATTTGGTGTCACATTTTAATGTATTTTACTATTTTTTTGTGTTAATTATGAGCCAAATGAACATAATTTCTCGTTGGTCACAGATCTTAATCAAAATCATTGCGGAAATCTAGTAAAGTTTAGTTTATGAATCTATTTTTTCGAATGTTGACAAAAGTTGATGGCTCAGCTAATTTCTAATACAAGTTGGCGAGCACCAAGTCAGCATTTCCATGGAAACATGTTTGAAGTATTTTGCTCAGAAAATTATCCTGATCAAGATGTGCTTCATACATGTATTCTCCCCATTTGTATTCAATTCCCTAATTTCAGGAAGCAGTACTTAGTATCACCATGGCTACCAGTAATAAATGTATATCCTGAATTTAACTACTTTTCTGTATCGTACATTGTACCATGATCTGGGCTGAAGGATTGTGGGTACATGAATTTTCCAAACCTTTTGTGGGGGGTGAGGTGTTTATTTTGTTCATAATAACAGCAGGCTGAAATCAATGGTTGTTTTATTTTGGGTAAAATCTGTCAGGCTCACTGAAAGAAAAATACACAATTGTAAATTGGCATGTAAACCAAAAACTCCACTATTTTATGCTTAATCATTAAATTAATACTCGTTATGAATGTATCCTTATGATACTTCTCTTTATTGTACATTGAACAGTGATTAATTACTTTGTGAGCTGAAGGATTATGGGTACATGAATTTGTTTTTGGAAATTGTTTTAAGTTTGTTCACCATATGTACATGTATATATATCAAATAATAACAATCTCTGGTAGTGTTTGTTTGGGGTGGGTAAAATTTGTCAAGCTCGCTGTAGAAAAAATACACATGTGTGAAATTGCTATATACTGTATTTTCTCTTATTAGAAACGTGCATAAACAAAAAATTACATTTATTAAATGCTTCATCATCTAAGTAATAATTATGTTATGATTTATAGAAGTGCATCTCATGGAACTATTTGTCACTAATTTAAGTAAATATTCATACCATTGGTTTGAGAATGCCTTACAATCTGCTATTATCCATGGTATTTGTGTGCATTTCACATTGGTTCATACTATGTTTCCACACACTTTGCTACATTCAGTGTTCAGTTTTACTCCAGGGTCCATAGCGTTGAAAAAATCCTTTGAAAGTCTTTGAATTTTTTGAGGTATGGAAAGTCTTCCAGTTGTGTTTAAATTACAGAAAAAATAACAAAATCTTTGAGAAGTCTTTAAATTATTTCATTTTCATTCTACCATATCCTCAGAACTTTGATAAGCTTTGGTGATGATGTTGGCCTGAATTAAGGATTATAATGTCATTGGAAAAATGCAAGAAAATTTGGGAAAAGGTCTGGAAAATTCTTGGAAATCATTTGGCTCTTGGTGCTATGGACCCTGTATTCTAAATTTGAGCATATGTGGTTGCAACCAATGCCCTGATTTAGATACCATTACTTTACATGTGTATTTTTGTTTGAGATAAGTCATGTCATCTTTTGGTATATATTTATGTGTGTATCCAGTGACCGTGTGTAAAATGAGCCGACAAATTGGTGATGTAATCAACAAAATACCAATCTCATATGAAACCCACAAATAGATTTATAATTGTCAGCTATTAGATTTAGTAACACTCCCCATTATAAAATATTCAAAATGTAACCCCAACACACCAGATTCCATTGTGGAAGAGATATTTTTTTCACATCATAATTCTAAAATTATTTTTTCAGGTTGTTGGCCTTACACAAGCGGAACTAAACCATGTATTGGCGGATCTGATTGCGTTGCAACGGTGAACAAAGTGAGCAACGAAACAGTACAATTTTGTTGCTGCGAGGGGGACTTATGCAATATGAATGTGTCTTCTGTTTATGTACCTGCCACTGTGTCCCCAGATAGTATCCTTCCAACTCAAGGTGAGTATCATGTGACTGATGATTGTAACTCTAATTGGTGCACTTTCAAATTAAGATTACTGTCATATTGTTTGACATGATATCCATGTAATTTTGATGTCAAAATGAAAATAGATCTTCTTATATATACATGTAGTGTATTTATTGGATTTAAATTTAAATAATTTATATTTTTAATTAAGATGACTATCAGAGATTTTTTTGTGAATTTAACAGGATTTCCAATATTAGGAATTTAGAATTTTGTGGGGCTTTTGCATTTTGACAAAACAAAAAAAATAAATTGTTCTATAAAAATAATTCGAGGAATGAAGAACTTTGTGGGGATTTTGACAAAACAAAAAATAAATCTGTACTACTACCTATTCTCAATATCAATTGATATTTTACAATTTTGAAATCCATAGATTATTTATCTTGTTTCCAGGAAACAAGATATAGACAAAGGTCAAGCAGTGGGATCTCATACAAGGACGCTTTCTTTAAATTATTAATATCTCCAAAACATTCTCTGATCTATGTCAGGTCATCAATATCTTCGACAATTTTAAAAGTCGTTTGTTATATTATTCTATCCTTGTGGCCTTTAACAGGGATCACAACAGATCATGATTTCTAGGAACTCAAATTTACCGGAAGCGAAATAAAATTTGTCTAATAATGTATTTCAGCTATACTGAGGAAAAATGTTGTTTAAAGGCTGATGTTAATTTTTTTTTTTTTTTAAATACATCAAATAGACTGTCATTTAAAATCAGTTAATTCAATAACTTCTCCACAGTACAATGTTATATTTCGTTTCAGTGTTTAGTTTGTAGTCAGAGTTTTCCTTCCTAAAATATATGTATTACTAGTATCAAATGTGTGCGGACATTTTATTCAAACACAGCAACTCTTATATCTGCATTGTGGATTTTGATGTGCTTAAGCTGTATATAGAAGTCCTGTCTGCCCAAATAACAGGGTCTACATTTATCAGATATTAACCCTTTCACCACCAATTCCCTCTTTTCATTACAAATACACAAAATAGTCAAATTTATAGTCTGCGTTTTCTTTCAGAACATTGGAATAAAAATAGTCAAATGTTTTGAGCAAAAACTGAAAATTGACTAAAATTTTGTCTGTTGGCTCCAAAATTAGGGTTCATTTCCGAATATATTTTGTCTGTTGGCTCCAAAATTAGGGTTTATTTCCAGATACCGTATATTGAAGAATATTAAAAAAAAAGTGCAGAAAAATTTGGTCGAGAATATCTGGTCGTGAAAAGGTTTAATGTATTTCAGGAAATGTATTTATATCCTATAATATGCTTGCATTTATCTGCCATAAATTCTTCATACTTATAGTAGTTTTTTCATATAATATAATGGTTTAATTTTAAAAAATTTAAAAGCAGGGTTAAATTCCTTATATTTTGAAATAGGCAAAGAATTGATAACTATAGAAGGCACCCAAGTTTGTTTCCATGGTAATAGTCTTCTATTTGATAACTTTACTTGGCTATCTGCTTTTAGTCCAAAGTTCAATAATTATTAGAGAATTCTCAGTCTCTTATTTAATAACTTTCCTTGGCTGTCTGCTATTGGTTCAAAATATAATAATTATCAGAGAGTTTGCAATTATCTGATATTGATTGGAGAGTTCTCAATCATTATTAAATGTCTGACGTATTCTTGAACAGCCAAGAACAAAAGTACCAGTACCAAATCAACACATATCTGACACCAATGAGTTGGAGTAAATATTGCATAGTCCAGTAAATATAATCTTTTTTTTCCCCCCGGAAATGTTGTTCAAACCCTGTAAAATTGGTGGAAAATTGTCAATTTGTTTCAAAATTAACAAATACTTCAAAGTTAAATTCATAAAAAACATCCAAAATGTGATAAAAATTATGTTTTTCACAACAACGAGTGGGATCAAATATTCTGGATGGTTGCAATTTTCATTCACATTCATGTAGATGTTTAATAAGAAACCTGTCCATAGAGGGGGCTGTTGCATATTTGCCTGCTTTTTTTTTATAATTGAAATTATATCATCTTTCTTTCAGATTACATCGTAGACAAAAGAATAAATTATAGAGAGGAAACAATCATCATTGCCTTGGCATCGGTTTGTGCTGTCGCTATAGTTACTGTCGTCGTTTATCTTGCGTATCGTCTATGTCTTGGGTCGCGGAAAATGAACATGTCAAATGGATCCATTGATGATACCCGGTCATCTTCACCGTCGTTTGATGTGGATAATCTTAAACTCATGAACAAAGTCGGCACTGGACGATTCAGTAACGTTTGGAAGGGATCACTGAATGAATCACCAGTCGCAGTTAAAGTTTTTCAAGCTCCTTATAGACAATACTTCCTGAACGAACGTGAAATTTACTCACTCCCATTCATGGATCACAATCATCTTCTTCGTATGATCGGTGCCGAAGAACAGTATGTTGGTGACGGCATGCGAGAGTACTTAATTGTTTTACAATACATGCCACATGGATCATTACAAAATTATCTCCGGAATA